CCTTCCCACTGAAGTGACGAACTAGTAATTAAAACAAGCAACAGACAGATATTACCCCAAAAAGAAAAACAAACAAAATGTTAACTGCATGTAAGCAAGATACACAGAATAGAATTTTGACCCAAAAAAGGGAAAAAGAGACACAGAATAGAAAGTGGAGCAGCAAGAAACACATCACTTTATAAAACTTGGTACAGTGGCATTAAATTGCCGAATCTTCAAGTTCTAATACTAACAGCCACCTTCAGCGATCTAACTTTCGGCCTGATGTTAAGTATTAAATGAGGGGAATAAATGAAAGAGTTTAATACTCAAAGTAGAGTGAGCAAAGGAGTTCAGTAGTACTAGTACGTGTATTCATTAGGTATATTCTTGATCATGACAGTAGTTTTCTTTTCATAGCTTCTAAGTGGTAAGGTGCCATGCTTCTCTACATAAATCCTGCTCTGGTAGCCTCTCCTTTCTTCAAGCATAGAAGGACTAGATCCTCTTCTTCTCAGCCATTCCCTAGAGCTTCCTCTTCTTCGAGACCCTCCTCCTCTTCCCCTACCATTTAGCCAAGAGCCACCTCTTCCAGGTCTCGCCCTGGAAAACTTTGGCTCATAATACTGTTTATGAGTGATAACTCTTGGACCCCTTCTTACTGGCTCACTTGTTGCAAGAGGAGAAGACGCCGCCGGTGGTGAAATTGGTGAGACATCTATATCAGCATCATCCTGTGGTGGTGGTGGAGGAAGAGGGAAGTAACTAGATTGGTGTAGAAGAAAGGAGTCAGTGTAAAAGGGTTCATTGTGGATGTAAGGCGGAAGATGGAAAGCTGGCTGATTTGGATGAAGAAAAGGTATGCAGGAAGTTGGGAAGGCAGGCGGCGGTGGTATGGGGGAGGAGCTTGGTCCGTGTATTAACGAAAGATTATTTAAGTGAGCAGTGATGGACGAGGCGTTGAATAAGGGCATGTATTCAGGAGCTTGAGGATTGAGACGCTTGGGAGCTGCAGCCATGGTTAAGAAGAAGAAGAAGAAGAAGAGACGAGAGAAAGATTTGGAAATGATCAAAAGCGAGCCATTTTTGATTTAGTACCAATGAGAGGAAAAGAGGTGGGAAGACGTACAAGTTGATAGGTATAATCTCGAGGCTCGCAAATACTAATATACAGAAAGCCAGAAAGAATGAACCAGAGAAGAGAGAGAGAGAGAGCACTGGACTCTGGAGAGTATCTTGTGTACCTTAAAAAGTTCAAAGACTTTTTGTTAACCAAATAGTAAAATAATTCACTCGTACTATTTTTAGGATCTGGTAATTTCTTGCACATTTTTTTCACCCTAACAATAGCTTGTAAGAATATATAAAAATAATAAATACCAAACCTTTTTTTTCTGGGCGTATAAATACCAAACTTGATACTAGACACAATTGTAAATATCATGCACTAGAGAATGTTTAATTTTTCAAAATTGCTACTATTAATGTAGCGAATGTCATGTAATCAATATCTAGGTTGTCTGTTTCTTAATCGAATTTATCTCGTCATTTGAAGAAACATGTAAATGGGTAACCCTTATTTTAATAGTAGTATAACTTACCCAAATATAAAAGGTATTACAGTTAAAAAAAATTTAGTGTATAATTTAGAAAAAATAGGTGATAAAAATTTGAAGGGTATAAATTAGGAAGAGTTGCACATATGACATCATTCGTGAATGCCAACGATCTCCAATTTGAAATCTCCTTTTACATTGAAATTGAAAGGAACATGAGTTACGTAAATATGACACTACTATCATTTTCATTTTTTTTTTGTTTAAATTTTGTTGTGAAATCATTGAAAAAACGTACTTAAATGTATCACAATCTTGTTCAAGTGTGATATCTAAGTTGGGTTATTTCTCTTGAATATTATTTGAAATAATTACTATAACATTTTTTATGATGTGATGTATATAAAATAAATAGTGATAAAAAATATAAAATGATGAATTGAAAAATATATTTATGATACAAACGAAATATTATTTTAAAAAATAATTATCCAAATAAAAAAATTTATTGTGTGACATATGCGCTGCGCGCAGACTAACACGTCCTAAGTCTAACAGTTACATAAGCTACTTTAAAAGGTCGATTACAATAAGCTCTAAAGTTGAGAAATCTAAAACGTCTTATAGATACAATTGTAGCTTTAACTTTCTATGAACTGTGGCTCTTATTGCATTTTATCTCTCTGACGGTTAGGTCTGTACTCAATTAACCTCATGATTTATATTTAAAGATTAGGATTAATCTTTTCTATACTGACAATGTTACATTATCAGTATTTGATGAATGATAACTATGCAAAATTTAAATTTGAACTCCGACTTTTGCATGTATATCATGGATCTAACGGTAGAAATGTATATATTGTCAGTGCATATAAGATTTACTCGAAAGATTATCCTTAATATTTACTTATTATTAAGTTTTCTTTGTTTCCTTTTGTGTCATCTTCTCTCTCAGGTATTTGTCGTCATTTGAAGTGTACAAGTATTCGATGGAAGTTAATGATAATAGTAAGTTATTTATTTATAGGTATAAAAACATCAGCCTACGACTTCAATTGTTTAAAAATCTTTAACGAAAGATAAACCACAGTTTGATTGAGTTTGTGTGTTGAACTTTTAATCTTCAGTTACCATGAAAGAAAAATTCATTAGTGGTTTTTGGATATCTCTTGATGATGTGGATGGGGCGTGTCCTGGACGAAAATCATGATCATGAGGTCTCCAGTATCAGGTAAATATCTAAAGGTTCGAACTTCGAGGAGTGCCTTGTTAAATTTACATGTAATAATTTACTACTTTACATGGATAAACAATGCCAGGGAACATGGCGAGATATTTTTAGGGCTAATTCGCGGTGTAGAATTTCCCAAAAAGAGGGTGTAGAGAAAAATTATAACCCAAAAAAAAAGGGGGAGGAGTGCAACCTTCATCCTATTTTTATGGATTGATTACATTTACTTGCCTTATGGTTTAGTCATATTACCAGTTAGATCTTGAGATTTGACCATATTACCTAACAACTCATAAAATCATAAGTCTATGACAACTAGCCCCTTACTGTTAGTCAATCGCCGTTTGATAATTGATTGGGTTAGCAAAAATACAAGTTGAATGTTCCAAATGCCCATCAGCGAGTGACCCCATCTTAATTCCCTTTTTTACCCTTTTCGCTATATTGTCAAGTGCCCTACCAAAAAAAATTTTGTTAAACTTTTTTATAATGTTAGTGGGACTATGGAAAGTCTTGAATACTATACTTCTTACTTACACTTATTCCCTCTTATTGCCCAATCCGCCAAACCAAAAATCTTAACATATTTACTTGTGACTACAGCTTTTAGTGGCAGAGTCTTGCAAAGAGAGTTCTCAATATTTGTATTCCTATACCATCAACCTCTTCTTTTCAAATAAATTAAATATGCTATCTAGGTATTAGTGATCCAAGAACATGAGTTTTAAAAAGCCAACGTCAATCACCCGAAAACAATATGCTAGTATATCCATACCAAATCCTAGAAGCTAAAATCAAGTTTAATATGATTGCCTATATTCAATTATAACACCATAATATGAATAACTTACAACATTTCAATGCCTCTACATATTCTAGATCTTGCCCGAATTTCAATGTTTGCATATTATGTTTTTATACACGAGAAAGGAGAACAAAGAAAGGGCGTATAGGTGGTGGTGGTGTCGACGGAGCAGGAGAATTAGGGGTGGCAATTCACATAATGATTGTTTTTCTTGTTTTAGTTATTTATCCACTTATTTCTTCTAAGGAAAAATAGCCTTTTATTATGTTTCTTTCTTTTTCCAAAATCTGTTAAAATAGGGCATTATTGTCATTTTATAGCATCAGTCAAGACTCAACAGAGTTAAGAAATCGTTACTAACAGGGGGTACATATAATTTGGTCAAGCTACAAGGTTTCTATGGTAATATTGACAAACCTCAAGGGGTGTGAATGTAATTAAACCTATTTTCGTCAACTTATGCCGCGGCCTATCTTTTTCAATTGGGTTTTTTTTAGCAGTTTTTATTACCAAAAGTACTTGGTATTACTATTTTTAGGGCATAGACTATTACAATTTGGTTGTTTAAACAAATTCCAGCAAAACATTTAAAGGAAAAACAAAAGAGCGCGTGGAAGACACCCAAAAAAGTTAGGTAACTAGACCATGATTGTAATGCATTAAATGCAGGGATTCGGTAGTGATTTGGAAGGCACGCCTGCTGTCTGAAGCTTCCGATGGCGAATGTTCCTTCGTTTCCCCAAGTGTACTTCAGAAAATCGATATCTAAACTCAACTGGCCGCCCCTGCCACCACCGACTTTGCTGTTTGCTTTACCTTTTTTTTTTTTGTTTCTCCTGGGTGGTAATAGTTTGCTTTTCTTTTACTATATATATATATTTCTTTCTTTTTCGAAATCTTGCCAGTCCATTTTATTACCGCTTGATCTGTACTCTGGCCGGCCCCATAGTTGTGGGTTATGCAAAAGAACGCGACGCTGATTTACACAAACGATAAAAGTAATTAGAAAGTAAATACAGAATATCTACCGCCAACGACCTAATGCAGCTGATCATGGCTCATGTTCCCTTCCGATTCTGGTAAATTCTTAATCCAAAAGTTTTTTTTTGACGAATTAATTAGGGAAATAAAAAGAATGGTAACAACGCCCGTTTCCCAACTCAGACGACTGGGGCACGAATTCCTCAAAAGAGAGTCGAAAGCGAACCACGGTCCAGCTGGTGACCTTTTAGGGGGTGTTATGAGGAGCTCGCTCGTCTGCGCATATATTTCACCAAGCATTTTGCGCTTATCAACCTAAATGCCCTTGCTGCTTTATCCGCAGCTTACAGGCTCAGGGTAAATATTCCCCCAGTGCATCTATGAAGGCATCAAAATTGGTGGCTTTGCTAAACAGTGCGAGTGATCGTTACTAGACAATTTAGGAACGCAGAATATATTTAGATAGAGGGAGACATTGCTGAGAGTCATGAGACCCAAAAAGGGCAAAAAAAAACACACACACACACAAGGGGTATAACCAATCATTTTTTCTGGCGTTTATCCTAGTATAACAAGTTTCAAAGTTTCCTACTAGTTAAATTACCTTCCTTTCAATGAGGAACCCTTCATTGCTAATAATGCAGCTCCATAGCAAGCTTCTGTCTGCAGCGCCTTGTGCACAGGCAATCCTAGCACTCTTTCTCGAATCTTTATCCACTTGTCATTTTTTGATCCACCTCCAGCTGTAAAAACTTCTTCAACTGGGGTTGCCCCAAGATCCTTCAATAAATTGTAGCCTTTTGCCTATCCAATATCAAAGTAAATGATCTCTCTGAGCATATTTAAATGACAAAAAAAAAAAAAAAAAAGGAAAGTGAGGGGTTTAGGAGACTGCCATGCAAGTACTCTACCTCAATTCGGGCTATAGATTCTAAAATGCCATGCAGGTACTCTACATCGCTTTCCGGGCGAGGATGTAATCTGCACAAGCAGGTGGCTGATGTTAGAGGAAACGGGAAAGAAACAGAGCACCCACTAACAGAGTTAGCAGCTCATTGTTATAGGTGGAATGTTTTGTGCAATGTCAATTAACTATAGAAGCACAGGAATGTTCAATTTCATACAAAATCTCAAATGCAACAGAGAAAGAAGCTTTAAATCCTAAGCAGAAAGTCTGCAAACAATATGATAATTATATTGAGTTCTGAAGAAGCCCTCCATTTGCATTTGTTCTCAACAGTACCAATAACAGACAATCCACAGGTAGAACAACAAAGCCCTTGATACATCAGTAAAATGTCGCCTCCAGGATGGCTAATGAAACCCAAGCAGGCTCCATATTTGTGACCAACATTTTTTTCCTTAAATTTTCTCTTTCCCTTTACACCCTTTTCACTGTCAAAGCTATTGGATCTGGGTAAGAAGAGTATGAAGTAGACCACGGCTTCAAAAAGTTAGGAGTAAAATAAAAGCATATTTGAGTTTATTAGTTAAAAGCTATTGCTCTTTGGCCCTTGCAATCACATCCACTCGAAACTTTCTATACTACCCCAGTTATATATTCAGCAACTCATGATTACAAAATTTCAGGAGTACAAATAACTTCAAACTCAACATTTTTACCAGTACCAAGTTGCTCATTCAACTTGAAGCAGAATACACCATTAATCATCAAACAGGAGATCAATAGTTAATCAACACCAATGGATAATCAGGAAACCAAGCTTCAGTACAGTAAAACACATGATTAGTTGCAGATTCTCCATATAAACAGACTGCATGTCAGCAGCAAACGCAAACTTGCAAGAATAGACCCAAGGTTCAGTCATTTGCTTATTTATAGACCGTGGTAATCAAGCCCACAACATAGTTTCCTCACAGCTCTAATTATAGTAATGCATAACAGAGGAATTAGTAAGTACCAAAAATCAGGAATAGCAGAATTTCTCAATTTTGATGAGTTTGCTAGCTAGAATCAAGGACTGAAGAATTGGCATAAATTTTGCAGATATGTTCTTTTTCTTTTATCATCATGCCATTTATAAACTCTTTTACTAATTTCCTCATAACGTCAAGACCTTTTGCATACCTGGGTTGCATATCTGGGTCTGCCACAGGAAATCTCTCTCCAACTGACAGAAGGGGATAGTAGTCAAGAGGAGATGCTTCTGAAGAATTTATCTTTTCACTTAGTTTCTCCAGTTGATCATCTGTAAACATCTGCCTAAGAACAGCTCCACCAGTGTTTGAAGCACCTCCAACGAGCCATTTATCATCAAGACGATGGCTATACACCCCATATCTTGAATCCTCAATCCTTCTGGTGCTAAGAAGTTTTATGGCAAGTGTGGAACCCAATGACGTGACCTGAGTAAAATCAATTTGAGTATGTTTTATTTGCAAACTCGATACAAGATGAGGTAAGTTCCACGCACAAACTACACCAATCTGCCGGCCCTTTAAGCAAATTTGCACAGCAATGAAGCAACAAGAATACACAACTTTCGGATTTCAGAATTATATAAACAAATGAAGAAGAACCTCACAGCTTTTCCAGGTTGAGTAGCGCGTGCTGCAAGAAAGGCGGCTATGCTATCAGTTGTTCCCGTGCAGATAACACAATTCTCTGAGAAACCTGTCCAGATGATGCATGATATGAGGGCCAGACTGTAAATGCCAATAGCTAGAAGGGATGAGGTGATCATAGTGTAGAAAGCTGTATCATACATTAGTAGAGTATCTCATGGTTAATAATCATGCAAAACTTCAAACTGAAAAAACGACGTCCTTTGTACTACTCTAACCACTTTTATCCAGCAAACATTAATAAGAAAAGCTGCATCATTTGGTCGGGAATTGAAAACAGACTACCTAATTGGAACTTCATTTCCTGTCATAACTGAATATGAATTTGACAATGGTTTTGTCACCAAGAGAAATGACATGATAATGAATGAAAAATAGTTCGATCTCTAAAAGTGAAAGAAAATCTTTGCATACTAGCAAAGATCTAAATAAGAACTTCATAGGCATAACGCTCGCGACAAGGACATGCAGACTGTTGAAAAAGGGCAGGCAATTTATAACATCAATGCGGATGTTTACATCAGAACTATAATGATGGTCCAGACTAATTTTAGTACAAATAAATATTTACATCCATATTGGTTGGTGACCAAAATTACATGAGCATATAAGAGGGATATATTGGGTTTATGAGCCGGTTTATGATCAATTACTGATGACAAAAATGTTGTAGAACAAAAGCGTACCAAAATTTGTTCTAACGTCCTCTTTCATATAACCAATTGGAGTACCAGGAGCTTGCACTGAAGGTAAAACAAAAGAATAGGGTTGAGCGAGCAGCCAAGGTGGATAGGAGTCAATTTCAGGATCGTAGCCCACCTGAGAGAGAATTGGCCAATAATGTGTAAAGGGACGCAAAAATCTCAATGCAATTTCCGGCAGTCCCAATGGCTTTGTGGGGGGCGGGGGCGGGGGAGGGGAAAGAAGATTGGGAATGAATAACATAATACCTTCAGTGCATTATTATAATCAGAAACTCCTAGCTTGCCATGAAGGAGCCACGACAACCAATCTGCTTGATGCAACAGCACCACGGAATCCTTATTTGAACCACAAGAGTTCCACCAGGATACAAGCTTGCAAAGCGTAGAAGATCCTATGCATACTGTGTGGTTCTCAGGAGCAATGGACTTTACCAATGGCAAAGCATCAGGACAACTGTCGTTGTAGAGAAATGGCTTGGATAAAGATTCTCCAGTTTTGCTAAATTTACATTGGAGCAGATTTTAGTCAAAAGTAGGGAATTTGTGAAGCAGAGAAAAAAAATAAAAATGAAGTCAAATTACGAAGTATCTACCCATCTATGATCATGGTTGTGGCAGAAGTTCCATCAACGGAAATGGATGCAATATTTGACCGAAGACTCACAGGGACATCTTCGAGGAGTGAGAAGAGTGTCTTTTTCCAGGACTGCACCAAATCAACTTTTTCCTTGTTCTTTCTAGAAGATAAAAACCAGCTCCAGGTGTTAGTGATGGAGTAAACAAATTAATTCACTTCTTAATCCCAAAAAAGAAAGAAAAACAATCCTTGTAAATTCACTTCTTAATCCCAACTTAAACCCCGCGCCAACACTTATTAGTTAATTAATTCAGTTCTTGAAATTCAAGTTGCTATACTTCTACGGTTCTACCTTACCTTTAAGCAACAATATACGGGAAGACCAACTTAACTTTAAAATATATATATATATGTATATAAATTTTAGATATGGATCAACAAACCATTGCCTCAAATTGAAAGGCTACCATAAACGAAGAGTAGTCTCTTTTCCCCTCGGCAAGTATATTCCCTTCCTCATCAATTAAAGCATAGCGTGCTCCAGAGGTACCAAAGTCCATCCCCAGATAAAGCCGCTTCCCCGCTTCAAAATCCGCATTAGCATCCCTTTTACTATTCCGAAATGTAACCATTGGCTGTTTTGATTTTGATTTGTGTCCGATTGTAAAGACTGAACCACTTGATATTATTAGCTTTTTTGAAGTAGGAAGTCCTGAAACATTAAGGTAAAGATTAAAGACAGCTTCACCAGAAATAAAAAATAAAATAAAATAAAGGTAAAAGATTAAAGACAACAATATCAGAGCAGCGTCTTATTACATTTACTTGCGTTTGAAAACGGAAAGCGGGAACAAGACTTACTCCATTTGAGGCATGAAGGTTGGACCAGAAGCAACAGACTTTGGGACGCGTAAACAGAGGTCACCATTTTCTTGACGTTTTCTATCTCAGCTCCAGCGGATAAAATTGGTGACCAGCGGAGTAGTGGTGTACGATTAGGAGATGGATGAAGCCGCTACGATTTGCGGAAGCTGAAAGTGTGTTGTTCCCAGGATTTTTATGTGGTGGCTAAAACTTGGCAGGGCGGGACTGCCAGAATAATTATGATGCCTCGCTCCAAGATTTCGTTTCCACTAAGATGATGGTAATAAGGTTGACAAGAGAAATATTACCCTTAGGCCGTTTTATTAGTCTTCGTGCTCCAAAAAATTGGGTATCCAAACACATAAAAATTTTACTCCGTTTGGTTTAACTTTTTTTTTTTGAGAATGTTTTTAAAAAATTTTACTATAATAGTGTATATGAAAAATTTTTACTATAAATTTTTTTTAAATATTTGATATATTGTATGGATGAGATATTTTTTGAGTTATTGTGTATTACTGTAGCATTGTATTTGAAAATTTTATTTTTGAAAAAATGGCCAATCCAATAATTGATCCTGGTTCCTAGCTCTTTATTTCCATTTTTTAACTAAAATTACTCATTTTGTACGTTATGATATTTTATTTTCTTTCAAGGAATAAAGTAATGAGTTCATATCTAAAAAAGCGGTTGAATTTCACCACATATATGTAATGGAGTAAAGATAAGAATCTTTAAAAAAAAATTTAAAAAAAAGTGGACCATCATTTAGTTTGTATCTATCATATTAATTCTGCTAGCATTAAGTGCACACCCAATGTGTTTGCAATTAGGGAATAATTAAAATAATCAATTTTATGTAAATTTTATTTATTACATATAAAAAATATATATATAATTTTTATGAAAAAACTTTGATTTATATGATTATAGTAATTTGGTAGATACAATACGTAGGGTGTTTATGTAGTTATATTGAAAAATATGATTAGGTAATTAGGGTAAAAATTAAACTTTATAAGGATTAAAAATTTTAAAAAGGACCAAAAATGTTTATATCAACTGTTATTGCTAAGGTATTTATATTGTATAGATTTTGCTTAAAGTAAGATTTTTTTTTAAATAAATGCTTCAAAAATTGTTATTTCCGTGTTCAAATCACCTCACCAAAACTACCACTTGACGGGCAGGGTGAAGATTAAATTACCTAAATGGCTCTAGAACTTTTAAATTTTTATACCTTTGCCCCTTTAACTATTAAGTGTGTCACATTGCCTCCTAAACTTATAAAATGCATACAATATCAGCTATCGCAATTAATTTCCGCCATCAATGTTGACGGAGACGTGTGTATTTTCATGAGATTTTGACATTTGAATGATAGTAGTCAAGTCATGATTAACTATCTTTAACTGACAACTAGTAGTTTCAGTAGTTACTAGACAAAGTTGGGAGAACTAGAACTTTAAAACTACGTGGTTTTGATATAACTTTTGTAAGGATTGACTGATAGATTTGACGAAAGGACTAAGAATATGCAGTCCTTACATTTTCAAGGTGCAATGTCATATACTTCATAGTTGGATGGCCAAAATATATAAACTAAATAATTCAAGTGCCATTTAAGTATTTTATTTTGAAAAGAACAAAAAGGCAAACTCCTTGGTTTTCTGCCGACTGAGGCCCCTTTTTTATTATCTAATTCAACATTTAAATTTAATAAATTTAAATTTTAAAATGTTTAGACATGTTTTATAACAAAAAATAGAACTCTTAATTAATTAAGTGATTCTGAATTATTTACTTATCATATGATAAAAAATACACTCAAATTTTAAAATTTCAATACTTAATAATTCAGCAATTTAACAAATTTATAAGTCAAATTTCAGATTTAATTTTTATCAAACGCACCTAAATCTAGATTGCCGACTTTGGTCGACGGCTCTTCTGCTATAGCCATCCGTTCTAAACTATAGGTGCAGGCCTCTGGCCGAAGTTTGTTTATGAATGGCTTGGGCTGAATGCACCACTCGCCAAGGCCCAGCCCACTTTTCATCCTAAACTAATGTTCCAAAGCCTATAGAAAATCCTAAACTACTTCCCACAAAAATAGATTTCACCTTCACTTTTACCTAGATTAAAAAATGTTAGTTAATGTAATCAATTTTGTTTAGTACTTTACTCATATGCGATACCTTAATACAAGTTTAGTTTTGGATTTATTACTCCTATAATGGTTCGTCAATAGAATAGAATGTTTGGTTAACTAACTGCCCATGTAAAAAAGAAAGGAGTCTATAATTTGAAATAATCGCAAGAGAAAAATGAACCTATCTTTATGTGATGGAAGAAGTAACTTTTTGGATAACTTTTGATATATTGTGCAGTATATAACTTTTTTTACACTAGCATGTTTAGATCATGCCATATAACATGAATTTCAATTCAAAATTCAAATCGTAGACATGTAGTATACGTTCAAAGATAATAGTGTAAAAAGAAACACTACACTATCAACACATAAAAAGTTAACCATCATTTTTTAAGGGACCGTCCCCCACCTCGCCCAAAAAAAAAAAAAACCCCAGCACATTTTTTTCACCGGCTGAAAGGCCCTGAAGGTTTCGTTCGAGAAAGCACAAAAAAAAAAATTTCTCGGTTCTAAAGTACAAGATTTCAATTGTGAAGAGGGATAAGGTTCATGAATCTAAATCTTTACTGTAAGGAATATTAATCCATCAACCTCCACGGTAGCAACATTAGCTTAAAAAATGGTGGGGCTAAAAGTAACTTGCACGCATTGATATTGGACGAAAAACTCCTTTATATCTTATCAACAAACATTATTGTAAAGACTAATGCAATTGAGCTAATGCCCAAGAGTTAATTTGGACTAAAAAAAAAAAAGATTAGGCATACAAATATGCAATTCACAACATACATGATGCTGAAGGCCCCAGCCCCGTCCCATTGCGATCGCACGCAAGGACCACAGGCTACTATAGTAGTAGAAAGGTTGCATGTGCTGTCAAGCTATAGAAGAAATATGATGGGTTAATGATGGGAAGTTAGGAACTCCCCACACCACCTATCCTTCTTGTCTTACACTACTCTTTCGAATTTACTCCTCTTTTGTAGAATATCAACCAGAAATGCAAAAGAATTATTAAGCCAGAGCAAGCCAGTGTGAACTCGACTTTTGAATAGAGTATCATTCAAGCATCTTTGCATAGATTATTATTTGAAATAATTATTATAGTATTTTTTTTTTTTTGCGATATCATATATGTAAATTAAAAATTAGTTTTAAAAGTTTCAAAACAATCGCTGTTTCTCTCTCTCAAAAGTTAGATTAATCTCTCGTGCTCTAGTTAATTGAACATAAGTCCATCTTAAGTAGCATATAACTAAACCAATAATCGTTCTCTACTCTTTCTATACTTGGCTATGGAGATGGATAAATAAAGCCGCATGCTCCTGATCATGGATGGAAGAATGCGACGTTTCTGTCTATTCCCCAAAAATTGTTGCACGAACGTAAACGTCAGCGTAGCGCGTTGCTTCTCGACGTTTACCTCGTCTTTATTCGTGCACTTCTCAATATTCATCACCGATCATTTGGTGCTCGATTGATTTCCACGTCGAACGTTTGTATTAGCTTTTCTGGGATAGGAGGGTAGATATCCGTCCCTTTTTTTAAAAAAAAAAAAAAAGAGATCTTACATCCAGAATCTTCTGTTTATAATTCCTTACACCTCATCACCTAATCTAATCCTCCCCCAAACACAGCCTCATTAATTTGCTATTTTAACCACTGCCACTAAAAACTGGTCCTAAAAATATTTTTCTAATTTTTTAATTTTTTGGGGGTAGGTTGGGGTAGTAATCCGATACCATTTTTTTAAACAATATGCAACTTCAGTGAACTGGCTGTGTGTCTCGCGTGCGTGGGTTGGTTGACAAACATTTTGGTGTGTAATTAGTGGTAGGTTTCATGTGTTGGTGCAATTAAGATGGAGTAATTCGTAGCAAGCCTGATTGGTTTCATTATTCGTCCTGAAGCTACCAGTGATCTTTTGGAAACTTATTGATAATTTTGCATATTTGGTTTTATCAGTTTGATTGAATTTTTTTCTCAATGATTCTCGTAATACTCATTTCCGTGCATATACTTTATAAAGTATGACTCCAAAGGCACGGTTATGGTCCAATTTTATCACCAAAACCCTCACCATTTTCACGTGAGAGAGGCCAAAAAGTAGATGCTGCAAAGGCAGACGGTTGTTGATCTGATCCAGCTCCCGATATTCATTACGTTTTGAGGCATCCGATCCTGACGGCGTGGCTATTAATTTGTAGTAAGAACAGGGGTCGTTCGGATATGGGTACTCCGTGGAGCAGAAAGTTTGGGAATTGGCCCAACTCCCAAGCAATTAGTATCTGTAAATTACCTGAAATTAACCGCTTTGCTTTTTCGTATGTAAAAGTGTGTTTGTTCGGCGAAAGAAATCCGTTTGCCGTCTCTCCTCCTTTAAAAAAAAAAAAAAAAAAAATCGCATATATGCATGCCGATGTAATTGATAAAAACAAAAAATTAAAAGGAGAGGAGGCTCACTTTAATCTAAATGCAAGGCACGTTATTTAAAGTAGTTCTTATGTCACAAATCACCTACCAAAGACTTCATCACAATTTGTACGTGTTTATGTTCAACTTCTCAAATTTTTTAGATCATATCTTGACCTAAATCCCGTAAAATTATTAAGAATGTTAAAGTCTAGGTATATTTGTTGATTATTTATAATCCAAACTCAAAACCCACACAGGGTCCATTTGGAGTTGCGGTAATTTATTAAAAAATATTTTTTTCAATAGAGCTTTTAATAAAAGTAGTTATTAATTGCTTTTAAGTATACTCTTTGGAGATATAGTTCAATAAGTGTTTATTGTATTGGATAACGTGTGATTTGAAAATTTTTAAATATATTTATCTCTTTATTTAGTTTATAATATAAGATAAAATGATTAAATTTAATATTTTATTTTTTAAATTACAAAAGCTACCCTAAAAATATCAAATTTGAATTTTTGTTAAAAGTACTTTTAACACCAATAATATCAACCAAACGCCTTACAAGTGCTTTTTTATCATGAGCACTGCAACTCCAAACGAGGCTATAGACGGATAGACCCATACGTCCGTATACTTTCATGCTATGCAACGGCAACGGTACTAGTCTCGTACACACTCTCCTT